TTAATTTATTAAAAAAACATAGAATTTCTTTGATAAAAGTATATTAATTTTGTTGTAAAAATCTTATAATTTTCAATATAATAAATATAATTTTTTTTTATTATTGATCTTGAGAAACAAATCCAGTTTATATCAAATATTAGCAAAAGAAAAATTTTTCTCATTTGCTTGCCTGAGTACTATTTATAATAATAGTAGCAAACACCTATCAAATTTCCTGAGCTAAAAATATCTTAAAAAAATTAAGAAGTCATTTGACTAATATAAGTATATTTATAATCTTATAGATATGTGTGACATAAATAAAATATATACTACATGTACCTACTTTTGTGACAAAATAATTTCTCACAAAAAGTCACTAATTTTTTGAGCAGAATAGAATTTATTAATATATTTCCATAGTTAATAAAAAATTTTGAGTAATAAAGTGAGAGTAAAATAAAATCCAAATATGCATAATCCCCAATGCTTTTGTAAATCATGCTCTTATTCTCAAATAAAAACTTTAGCATTAACATAAGTTACAAATTCTTTTGCTTAGCCAATATCTTCAAAAATGTAATTATTAGGCATATAAAAGAGAAGTATATTGAAAATTAGGATATTTATCGCTTTATAATTTTTATTTTGTTTATGTGATATATTATTAATATTTCATTATGTCTTCTTCTAAAATATTCAAGAAAATTCTTAATTTTTTACATAATTTACCTTCAGATTATATTACTGCATTTTTTATTATTTTTCAAATAATAGAATATGATATATGGTATTCAAAAAAATAACTGAGAGAAATAATTCATAATGTGATTAACAAGGTGAAAAACCTTGACCAACAAAATTCTGAAAAGTATTTGAAAATTGTTGATATTCCTTTGAAAGTTAGTGATTATTATTATTTTATAAGATTTATATTCCCAAATGATAATTGCGTAGTAAGATATCCTATAGTCAATTTAAGTAAGTATTTATAGCCATGTGGGCACAGGTTTAAATCAATTGCATTAATTCTTTAGATATATGGGGATAGAACTTGGTTCTGTGATTATTATTTTATCAGATTTATATTTCCAAATGATGATTGCTCAGAAAGATTTCCTATAGTCAAATTAAGCTAGTACACATAGCTATGTGACACAAATTTAAATCAATTATATTAATTCTTTAGACACACGAGGGTAGAACTTGATTTTAATTTACAAAGAAAAATATATCATTCATGTGTATTGTCAGTTGTATGCAGGCTACATATGATTAATAATTTATATGAAATATTCAGATAGAAGCACACACATATTTTCTATTATCTAAATTTTTAATATAAATACTAATATAAGATTTCTGCGCTAGTTTGATGATACATATAAAGGTATAAGCAGTCTTTAAAGTATTCAAGAATCAAAACAAGAACCACTTTCCAGAATGAAATAGAGACAAACTTGCGCAAATTGAAAACTAATCTCAGAAAAAGCAATATTCTATATGCTTTCCATTTTCAAAAATATTTAAAGAAGAAAGGTATTTTTGAATTATCATAGAATATTCCAATTACTAGTTAAATAATATGTGTAGATTCAGAAATGGTGAGAACTTTAAAAGTTGAAGAATATAATATTTTTATGGTGAGTAATTAACAAATATATCTTATTTAGTTGTAAAATACTTTAAGCAAACTGGTATTATATTAATTAATCTTATAGGAACCTTTAGAGTATATAAAAGTAACTGCTCTAGCCCTTGTAAGAAATATATATAAAATCTTTGTTTTAATTTTGAAGATAGTATTACAAATGTTTCAATAAATAGACTTATACATGATAAATGCTGAAAAGAATCAGATGAAAAACTAGTAAAAATTATATTAGAGATACTTGCATTACAAAGTATATCAAAGTATTTATCAAGCATTTGCTAATTACTTTAAAACTATTTATTTTAAAACTATTAACTATATCTCAACAAACTTTATATTTGATAAGCGTTGACATTCCATTATAATTAGCCAACATTATGTATTTTCTTAGTATTGGAATATAATATAATTTTAATACTTATATGAAATGCTTATTATATGTTTATTTATTATAAATATTTGTAGCAAATTGTGCAAATTAAATAATTGTAATTCAAGTGTACTATAATTATTAATACATTACAAAAGATAAGCCATTCTGTCTATTTTATTTTAGACCTGTTTTAAAAAACTTTGATAGCGTTATCTGTTCGTTTAAATATAAACTTTTACATTTTATTATAAAATATTAAATAAAATGATTAATAAATATGTTATAAAAGATAAAGGTAATACTTACAATTTACTCACAACTCTTCGTGATCTAAAACCTGCATCTTTTCGAGAAAATAATTCATTCATTCTATAATTTCACTTGGGACTATATTAATTCCTTTTGATAGATCTAAATAATTTAAAGTAACAGCCATTATAAACGCAATGGAGTTTTTTTCTGTATTTGGATTTGTAAAAATACGGTTGATTATCAGGTTAAAGTAAGTATAATGTGAATTATCATCAGGATCAACAGGTTTGTTAGTTTCATATAACATTCGTGAGTGATGGTGGCATCTTTGAACTTTCACTCTTCATCACGTGTAACTTGCTAATTTTCCATTTTTGGCTTTACAAGATTTGGAAATTCAGTATAAGTAGTATCTTTTACGTATTGTATAATATTGCTTCACGATTAGTGTAAAAATCTTTGAGTCTGTTAAAAGAATGAGTGAGATTAAATAATTTATTACAAATGACCATTAATATTTATTTACTAACAAATGAACATGTTTATTGAAGAAACGTCTCTATCTACCATATTTTATTTTATTTTGAAATTCTTCTTCTCTTGCATTTGATAACGTATCATAATATACTTGCATAATGCATTCATCATTTGGATATTTAACTTTTTCAATTACAGTATAAATCACTTGACCAATTGCATCCTATTATGAAAGAATACACATGACTTAGTATAATTATAGAAAATAAGTAAAGTATAATTCAATACTACCTACATCAATTCATTTAGTGTCATTTTTCGTATAATTACCAAATCCAATGACTTTTCAGTTTGTATACATTTCATTAATCTTTTTCTGTATATCTTGAATCATCACAATCATTTGAGTCTGCATATCATAAATATTACTAATTGTTAAAGCAATTCCTAGAAGAAATATGATTAATTTATATAAAGTGATTGTAATTAGGAGCAATGATTAATAAATTTAACTTACGATTCCTCTTTTGCATATCCATGTCTTTATTTTCTATATCATTAATCTCATTAACTTTTCGTTTATAATTAGAATTCGCCATCTCATTTTCTGAAGTAAAATCGTCGACAAGAATCTCATCATCATTCAGAAGATAGCCTTTCAGATTAGATAAAGCATTACTAACATCAAACAGATCTATACGGTTTTTTATACCTACATCTTTGGCAACCCGTTTATCTAAACCTATATTGATAGTAGAACTTCTTGTGATTCTTGAGGTATTTGGGGTGTTCAGGATCTTTGGAGTACTCAATACATTTGAGATATTTGTTAGTTCTTCTGAAAGTTCAATATGATGCAAAACATGTTAAGCACTTTTGCATGTTAAGGTGGATAATACTCATTTTTTAATATGGCCTATATCTAAAACAAGTCAATTTATAAGTGTTTCTTTGAATATTTTTATTTGAATTTTTATTATATGATAAAGAAATGAAAAGGTTGAACAGGACGGATAATTAGAAAAGAAAAGAAAAAAAGTTTAACAAGAAAGACAATAAAAAGCTTAATCTAATTTATCTTTTATAATAATGGTAAAATCACGTGATAAAATAAAAAGTTTGATTTAATTGATGATGTAGTTTAATAATAAACTCAAGGTTAAATTATTAAAAATAATAAACATTGTTAATTTAACTACAAATATGCATAATATTGGAAAAGTTGTTTGAAATAAATTTCGTTAAAATATACTTCGTTTAATAAGTTCAGAATTCCTCGTTTTCACATTTTGCATTTCAAACATATAATAGGAGAATTTTTTTTTCAGCATGATGTTAAAACAATTTCTAATTTTGTTAATAGCTCAAACTTTAATACGTGAAATAATCATATACATTTAATTTGAAAGAGATGATCGTCATCTTCATATAAACAGACTTGGAAAATCATCTCGTCTTATTTCTTTAGATGCTCTTTTTTATAAGTTTATGAGAAACATTTATTACATTTTGACAGAAAAATTTTCGTCAAAATTGACATTTCTCAACTTCTAATATTTAATTCAAAAATGTAATAAAATTTCATTTGGTTTATTTGATTGATAAAAAATTATAAAAAATTAGCAAGTTTATTATATTTTCTGTTCTAATTATATTTTTTTAGTATTCTAACGTGATTGTAAAATCAAAACTAAATCTGATTCTAAACATTACAAACTTGAATTCGACTTTAAAGACAAATATAACTGTTTATATATATATATAAAAAGCTAAGACATTTATTAATATTTTTGTCTTTTACTTTATCCGTACATCACTAGTCACGAATATGAAAACTATATACATTTCGTAGTGAGCTGCTTATTTTCTGAGATGCCAAGGTGTTCTTCTTGTAGTAAGGTTTTCAAGAATCGACAGGCATTGGGTAATCACATTAAAACATATTTAGATGATAGTAATGATGATTTATTTTTGTCAGATCAACCAATTCGCAGAATTTTTTCGATTAAAACAACCTGAATCCTAAATGAAAAAATATATTTGAAAGACAAACCATGCCTGAAAGAATGGAAATAACTTGTAAGGGAGCATGTATTGAGCAAAATCTGAACATCGGTCAGGAGAATGTTACATTTGATGTAAAAGAAGCTTCTGATATAGATGAATCTATTGAAGGACAAGATATCAATATTCTATCCTTTAGCTGCACAAGTGAACCTCAAGGCAGTGACCCATCTGACAAAGAATATGCAGCATCTGATCTATCAGATATGACAGAAGTTAATGCTGATGATTATGCTGAATACAATGCTCTACTTACTGAAATACCTATTGATCTCAAAGATATATATCAAGAATTTCCATCAGAAGAATATGCGGAATTTATGCATATGTTAACACAGTTTTATGTACAAGATCCACTTGCTAACGTCTTTATAAAATTTTTCAACAAATACTCAAATCATAATGATCATCCATTACTATCAACATCACAGACCAGACGAACATTTATAGAAAACCTAAATCTTTCAAATTTCGGTTGGTGAAAAGAAAAGTTTTTTAATACAAAGGAATAGAATATGTATTTGAACATAGAACGATGCTTGATGGTGTACAACAACTATTAATGAATAAAAGTATTACAGAAAATTTTATATTTAAATACAAATCATCTATTAAAATTGTAAGTATAGCTTACTTGAAATTTTAGAAGTTATATTAACTTATCTGATTTATAATTTGTGAACAAAGACATCAAATCAATGTCAATACACAGATATGTATGATTCTAATTGGTGGAGAAATGTAGAACAAAATCTTCCAATAAGAGCGCACGTAATGCCTATTATATTGTATGCTTATGGTACTCTTTGTGACAGCTTAGGCAAAATATCATGATATCCAATATTTATGATAATTGGAAATATTTCTTTAGCTCATCGTAGAGCTCCGAACAGGTCAGTTCTGGTCAGGTCAATCAAGTTACCTGAACTGAGAGGATCAGTTCAGGTCAAACAAAAATCCGACCTGATTTAAATTTTCATTTGA